GAAGGCTCGAGACCCGAAACGTCAGCTTTCCTGCTCCTCTGATGCTGCTTGGCCTGCTGTGTTCATCCAGCTCTACACCTTGTTATCTGGATAATGCTGTTTCTGAATGTATACACTTCTGGATCGCAAACTGAGTACCACCCACACTTATCCTGCCTGACACCTCAAATCCACCTCCTTCCTTGCCAACACAGTGCCTATAATTCATCCCTTTAATCAAGGCAAGTCTATCCAGTGTTACTTCAAAAATTTTTGAGGAGGAGAAAAATAAAGACAGAATTGTCAGAAAGCAGTAAAGAGATTATTGTAAAGCTAGCTGATTTTATTTTTTGCTGTGGTTCTAATAGTGGCATGCTACAAAGTGACAACGGTGACAGATTGTGACGTGCAGAAAGGTGAACTAGTTTGATACTCTTAGCCCGCAGAGGACTGAGCAGTCTTGGATCATAAAGTTTTTCAGTGGAAAAATGGGAATACCTGATCTGAAAGACACATGTGCAATTAAGTCTTGATGCACTCGGAAGTACCCTGACGAGTTATAGTTGTGAAAGAGGTCTCACTATCACCACTTTTTTGGTAAGCTATACGTGGGTAATAAAGAAAGGAGGACTAATGCCTATCATCTGAGAATTAAAAATGATCGTGTTGAATTTTAAACACTGGCAAGGAGGGGTATCTGAAGCCTTTTTGGCTGGATAATGTCACCGACAATGCACGGAGTCATTTTTGTCATCTGTTAGATATGTGAAGTACTTGAGTGATCATTACCATTAGTTAGTCAACTCCCTCAAGCTGACTAAATTATGCTTTGTTGCATTGAATGGGGTGTACCGTGTTTTCTAGTTCCTTCAAACTTGTGCTGAATGTTGTGTGAAACTACCTGTTCAACTACATGAATCATGTAAATACCACTAAGAGCATGCCAACTCCAAAGATTGTTTGTTTGTTTTTTTTTGTCACAATTGTATTGTTCTGGCACCCAATGGATCCTTGCAGATGAGTTGTTACCTGGTATTATGAAAGTATACCGTAATCTCATTCCTCCATGGCTGATCTGCTGATCCTGAAAAACACTTCTTGCAGTTGACAATGCTTTGGCCTCCAATATTGCAGTAAAGATATTTAAAGTCACAGTTCAAGTGGATTCACAATTTTGTTCCTTTGAACAGATTATTTCTTTTTCATGAAAGAGCTTCCCTGCACCACTCACCCAAATCTCTTCCACTCTGTTTCTCCTTCTCCCCAACCTCCACCTCATCCCCGTCCCACTACTCCATCCTCCAGCCTTCCTAAATTACAGGTCTTTACTTCAAATTTGGGTTTAATATGGCTGTCAATTTTTGCTGGTAATTAACTAAAATACCCCCTATTGAATAATGGGGCATTTTAATTACCCTTCAGGTACTGAAGCAGTCCATGTCCAAATGCAGCAATAACTGGACAATATCCAGACTTTGGCTGACAAGTAGCAAGTAATATTTGTGCCGCACAAATGTCAGGTAATGACCACCTTCAATAAGAAACCCTGTCCCTTGACATTCAATGGTATTACAATCACTGAATACCCTACTAACCCTCAACAGTCTGAGGGTTACCATTGACCAGAAACTGAATTAGATTAGCCATTACAAATATGGTAGCTTCAAGAGCAGGTCAGAGGCTAGGAATCCTGCAGTGAACAACTTGCATTCTGACTCCCCAAAGCCTGTCTGCTATCCTCAAGGTTCGATTGAGGAGTATGATGGAATATTCCCTATTTGCTTGGATGATTGCAGCTCAAAATTCTCAAGAAGCTCGACCGTCCAGAGCCAATCCATTACAAAGCAGCCAGCTTGATTGGCACCGCATCCACAAACATCCACCATTTGACGCTCAGTCATAGTAAAGCTACAAGGCTCCTCCAACAGCACCTTCCAAACTCTCAATCACTTTGATCGATAAGGACGAGCAGCAGATAAATAGGAACACTGTCTAGAAGTTCCCCTCCAAGCCACTCATCCTGACTTGGAAATATTTTGTTAAACCTACAGTGTCACTGAGTCACAATCCTGGAGTTCCTTTCCTAAGGGCATTGTGAGTCTACCTACAGTACATGGCCTGCAGTGGTTCAAGAAGGTAGCTTGGCACCATCTTTTCAAGGTCAACTAAGGATGTGCAATAAATGTTGAGTGAATAACCAAAAAAAAATGACAATGAAAAGTGTTATCTTTATCGTTACCATGACGTTTTAAAAGAAATCTGTTCATTCCTAGGCTTTTTGTGAAGAATTGGAATCAATGATTCAGGAACAACTCAAAAAAGGAAAAAATCCTACTAGTCTACTTGCATTACAACAGATTGCAGATTTCATGACAACAAATGTACCTAGTATGTACCCTGCTGCACCACAGGGTGGAATGGCTGCATTAAACATGAGTAAGTATAATCATTCTGTAAATGTGGAGACCAAAACTCACCAATGTATTGTACAACTGTAGCAAAACTTTCCTGTTTTTTTATATTCTGTTCTTCTTGCAATAAACAACAATCCATTTGCCTTCCTAGTCGCTTGATGTATGTGCATACTAACTTTGTGATTCATGCCCAAAGAGCATTTAGTTTTCTATTAAACCACTGAGACGGAGTTACTTCTAACTAATTAGTTGAGTTCTCCATTTTACTGTGGAGTTTTAAATCACAGATCTGATCTTCCCAAGTACTGCCTCTGTATTATCTGCCAACAATCAGATTTGCTGACACAGACAAAGATTTAATGAAATCTTAATGAAACATCCCAAACTTGTACAGTTATCCACCCATATCATTGTTCTTCCTGAAAAGTAGTGTTAAATAACTAGGTTTGTGGGTTTGAAAGCTTTATTTAGAGAAAACACTCCAGATAAGTGTAATGTCTTACTAGGAGCATTTGGTTAATCTTTTCATTAGTCAAATACTTCCTACTGGTTTTGTTCACTACCCAGCCCCATCCATAGTAAGTCAAGTGAAGACTGAATCTTGTAGACTTATACCTGGGACAGTAAAGTGAGAAACTCACCAGGATATCATCATCTGCTATTTTAGGTCACAGAGGTCTGGCTTTGTGTTATGAGAAGGTGAATCAGTTGGGAAAACTGACATTACCTTTTCATTACAAGTTTTGTTAAATGTGCTGCTGGGTACAATGTTCAAAGGCAAGTTCTTTTACATACGGATTAGGTGTGGAAGTAGACCATTTGGCCTATCAGGCCTACTTTGCAGTTTGGTTGAAGAAAAAAAGAACTGCAGATGTTGGAAATCTGAAACAAAAACAGAAGTTGCTGGAGAAGCCAAGCAGGTATGAGCGCATTTGTGGAGAGAAAGCAGAATTAACGTTTCGGGTCCAGTGACCCTCCTTCAGAACTGCTTTCTTTCCACAGATGTTGCCAGACCAGCTAAGTTTCCCCAGCAGCTTCGGTTTTTGCTGCAATTTGAGTTGGTGCATCTGATTGTGGCCTCTGCTTTCCTATCTATCCCATATACTTTTTTTTTATAATTATGTCAATCAAATATCCATTCAACTCAGCCTTAAAAATATTCGGTAACCTTCTTCCACAGATCTCTGGGAAGCGAATTCCACAGTTGCATAGGTCTCGGAAAAGATTTCACCTTTATTGCCATCTTAAATGGAAGAACAGTTCATTTTTAATCTTTGTCTTCTAGTTCTAGTCTCTCCCAGAAAAGAAAATATCATTTCAGCATCACCTGCCATTCTTCTAAACTTCAAAGTCCCAATCTGTCTAGCCCTTTCTCATAGATATCCCCTTCATCTTTAGGAATAAGTTGAGTGAACCTCCCTGCACTTCTGACGTTGTCTCCTAAAATGTGGAGACCAAAACTCACCAATGTATTGTACAACTGTAGCAAAACTTTCCTGTTTTTATATTCTGTTCTCCTTGCAATAAACAACATTCCATTTGCCTTCCTGGTCACTTGATGTACATGCATACTAACTTTGATTCATGCCCAAAGAGCACTTAAATCTCTCTACTGAAGAGCTACACTGTCTCTCTCCATTTAAATAATATTCTGGTGTTCTATTTTTTCTGCCAAAGTGATCAAGTTCATATTTTCCTATATTATGCTCTATCAGCTAAATTGTTGCTCACAGTTATCTCTTCATGGACTCCTTGTGTCCGCATCACAACTTGCTGTTCTGCCTATCTTTGTCTCATTAGCAAATTTAACAACTACGCATTCAGTCCCATCCTTCAATTCATTGATGTGAATTGTAAAAAGTTGAAGCTGTAGTTCTGATTTCTTTGACACTTGTTACATATTGCTAACTGAAAAATGATCCATTTAATCCCAATTGTTTCCCGTTAGATTAGTAATCCTCCATTTATGCTGATATGGTGCGCTCTTATTGAGTTTAATAACATTTGAGTGCCACCTTCTCAAATGCCTTTTGGAAATCCAAGTTCATCATATCTATAGGTTTCCCCTTATCCATGTTGCTTGTTACTTCATCAGGAACCTCTGACAGATTAGTCAAACATAATTTCCAGGGAACTGTACTTCCATACTGTTGCATATTTGTGAAGTGAATACACATTGTGAAGGGTGCTGCAGAGCTTTAAAAAGACAAACATAAAAGAAGTGAAGATACGCTAAGTCAACATAGTGATTTAGGTACATAAACTTGTTTTAAAGGTTATAGAAGGCAGGAAAGATTGAAGAAATTAAAGATATTCCACACTTTGACACCTATGAAAAATTGAGACCCTGGGTGAGCCTTGATTTCAACACATTGAGGAAGTTGGCAAGCTTTCAAAATTAAGAATAAGGAAAGGAAACTTGGGAGCACTGGCATAAATATTGATAAAGTAGAGAAGGATAAAAAGGGAAGATCCATGAATGGAGGTTAAAGGCTAGGAGTGAAAGTTGAACAACCTTGTGTCCAAAAGTCTCCCTGCAAAGAGAGGAACATTCAAATCTTAAATTTGAGTTCCACACCTCTTAGAGACTTACTCTATATAAAGAGGTTTTATTTAGTCCTATTTCATCCATACTTCTGAAATTTTTAAATTTGTTTGTTTTTACGTGGTAAAATTTGATTCATTATAAATAATTTCCGTCTCTTTTTTAGAAGGTGTTTGGGTGATTCAAGGCTTGTTAGAAAAATTCAAGTGTTTAGTCGAGTAGAAAATGTAGCAGCATGGAAATAAAATAAGGTGCTGGAGAAACTCAGCAGGTCTGGCAGCATTTGCGGAGAGAGAACCAAAGTTAATGTTTTGAGTCCCACAAGACACTTCTTCTTTGGACAGTTTCATGTGGCATGATTGTATGTAATTTTTAAAATCAAAGATTGGCAATAATTTTCATTGAATACAATGGAGTGTGGGAGAACACTAGTGATAGCAATTAAACCTGTGGCTTTATCTTTCACACTGCCATTGTTTTGCAGTGTATTGGTTGATTTGATCTAATAAGAGTTTGACTATTTGTTGATTCAAAAGCATTCACTTATAACATTTAACAGAGGCAAGCTCAATTTCCAGGTTACACAAACACATACCAAAAAGGCTAACTTGGGTTGATGACTTGCTACTCTTTACTTTTCTGCTGTTGTTTCTTCAGAGGTCCAACAGGACGATGCTCACAGAATTAAAAAGTATGAGCTGTCAGTGCTGTTAATTATCCTCTAACTTGGTGTGGGTAATGACTACATATAGAAGAGGAAAGAATTAATTTTTTGTTACATCCTTCACATCTTCCACTCATCCCAAATTATTTTGTCACCAGTAAATTACATAGTTGCTGCTGTTAGTGGGCATATAACAACCGATTTATATGTTAAAGATTCCACAGATTGAGATAAATAACAAATTAATCCATTTTGGTTGTGTTGGCTAGGACTCGGAAAACTCCTAGACATCTACTGGAGAAGTGTTATGGATCTGTTATACTTGAGCAGGCAGATGAAGCTTTGTTTTAATATCTTATTCAAATAACAATGTCTCAAAGATTACTGTATTAAAGTATTAGTCCTGATATTTGTTTGTATCTTGTAGTTTTGCTTGAACCTACAATTCTGACTCCCAAATGCTGAAAAGGTTTACTTTGAGATTTTTTTTAAAGCTCATCTAAAATGTACAAATGGCAATAAATATGCCATTAAAGAGCACCTAGGATGAGACCGTCACTGGCAAGATCCGTATTTGTTGCCCTTCCCCAGTTGCCACTTTTTTGAATAGCTGCTGTATTGAAAGTAGATGCTGAAAGCTGTTAAATGAGGCAATCCGGAACTTTGATCCAATAACAATGATGAAATATTGTCATATTTCATGTCAGATGATGTGTGACATGGAGAGATACTTGGACGTGGTGATATTCCTTTGTTCCTGCTGCTAGTTGCTTCTGATCTGGTAGACTAGTGGTGAATCAGTTCTAGAAACGTAGGATTTAGGAGAAAGAGTAGACCCTTCAGACTTATGAGCCTGCTCCACCATTCACTTAAGGTCATGACTGATATAGTTGTCTCAACTCACTTTTCTGTCTGCTTTCACAACTCTTGTTTCTCAAATCTATCTATTTTCTAGTACTCTTCAAAAGTCTTTATTCATAAAATAATTCTTCATTTGTGGCAGGTTCCAATTAAAATAGGTATGTATTTCCTCTTTGCTGAATAAATTGCTTTAATAAATGCTACTGTTTACGCATTGTTGTACTGCCAATTATGCGCATATGCTTTTTTTAGGTCTTGGAATGGTTACCCCTGTGAATGATCTCCGCGGATCAGAATCTGTTGCGTATGAAAAAGGGGAGAAATTACTACGTTGTAAGCTAGCAGCCTTCCACAGACTGGCAGACCTCTTTGGATGGTCACAACTTATCTACAACCACATAACAGTAAATTGAGCTCCACACATTCTTCTCCTTTTCAATATATATAATCCTAATTTTACTGACTGCATGAAAATGTACCTTTTACAGAAAACATTTTACTTTCTTCCTTCTGTTCAGCAGAACAACTCAGTTTGTTGAACTTAAGGAGATGGTGAAAAAACTTTATTTGCAGAAATGTGAATAAGAAATGTCTCATCACAGTTCTGTAGTTAGACTTCTAAAGTCTCTTCAATAAAATTCAATAGCCATTTTGTTTTCCTGTTTAGATGTTTGATGTATCTGTCAGTTCTGTAACTCTGCAATGTACCTCAGCACAATTGAATTAACAGATGTATGGTACTTTATTTTTGGAGGAAGTTTCCTTTGCTGCTATGTTATATGCAATCATTGTTTGTTTGTGTCTGATTATCTATGAAACCACTCGACCATCTTGTTCAATAACTTTGGTGTACAAGGCTGGAGCCCGAATAACTGAGTGTGGTGGTGGGGATGCTGAAGCAAATTACAGAACAGCAGGGGTAAAACTGTGAAAGGCATTAAACATAAGAATAAATAAAACTTAAAAAGTCCTACTGGGAGCTGAAGTAGGTCAGTGAGAAAAAGACTGATTTGGCAAGCTAGGTCTGATGCAACATAAGATAAAAGAAGATTCTTAGATGAACTAAAGTTAACAGAAGAATGGCTGGTCATTCAGGAGGATACTGGTAGGCACTGATGAGAATTTTAATAGATGTCTTGGAGTACCATTGGAAATGGCTGTAGTGTCCTTTCACCAACTAGTGCCCCAGTTAAAGCTGCTCGAGTTTCCTGCAGCTTCATACCTGCTGCAACCTAGTGCACCTTGTTTATAATCTTCTTTCATATCTTGGTCTTTAAAGTTACCGAGAAGATAAATGATTGGATAAGTAATTTAACAGTAATCAGGGTCATTTAGATCCATGTAAATCAATGAAAAAATACCATTGCTATGAATAAAAAAAGTTTTGACTCAATAAATTTCCATAACCTAAAAGTATTACACGTTGGATAAAACACAATATCCTAAACACACAAAATGGCAGATCCGACTTTGTTTAAAAAAAGTATAGAAGACAAAAATAGTTTTAGTAAACAGCACTCTTTAAATTTGCTCATGATGGAAAGAAAATCTATAAATTTCCAGTTGATTCCCAACCAGCCAACACCACATATCTCTTAAATGTTAATGTTTCTCCAGGTTATATGGGTTTTGTATTATCTGAATTACTCAAACGTGATAAAAATCATTTAAATAGCTTTTACACCAAAACTTTAGCTTAGGGCAGGAGTTCCTTCTTATAATGTCGGGTTAGCTACAAACTATGCTGTTGTATGGATTTCCCTTTTCAAAAGCATTATGTATTTGCTATAAAATGGTCATGTAATAATAACTGAAGGCAAGTTATTGTTTCCTCTAGGCCAGAGTCAGTTCTGAACAGGAACATTTCCTCATTGTACCTTTTGGCCTCCTTTACAGTGAGGTCACTGCATCTAGTTTGGTGAGTGAGGAGGACTAAGTATCAATTTTAAATGTTATTTATTTGATCATCTTAGTGTTGCATTCAATTTTGCTTCAGATATTACATTACTTCTGTCAACCTGCTTTATAACCCGTGGAACATTACCACACAGCAAGGCTATCATTTTTCTAATATATGCCTACTAACAACTTTATTTTTCTATAAAGCTGCCTTTCCAGAAGTTTTCCAAGGTGCATGACTGGCATCATTTGAGTGAAGTGATAAACTTGACCGTAAGATTAGGAGCAAAAATAGGCCATTTGGCCATCTGGCCATCAGAGTCTGCATTTGATAATCTTCATACTCTGCTATTGTGCCTTTCCTCCAAAACACTGATTATCTTTCAATCAAAAGTCTGTCTCAGCCTTGAATATGTGTAAGACCCAAGTTCTTGCTGCAGTTACACGGGGCCTTAGTGAGACCATGCGTTGAGTATCGTGTGCAGTTCTGGTCTCCTAGTCTGAGGAGGGATATTCTTGCTATTGAAGGAGTACAGCGAAGGTTCGCCAGACTGATTCCCGGGATAGCAGGACTGACCAATAAGGAAAGACTAGATTGCCTAGGCATGTAAATTCCAGTTAGTACAAGAATGAAGGGGGTAATCTTATATAAACATACAAAATCCTGATGGGACTGGATAGGCTGGACGGGGAGGCAATGGCCTAGTGCTATTATCGCTGGATTGTTAATCCAGAGACCCAGATAATGTTCTGGGGACCCGGGTTCAAATCCTGCCACGACACAGGGTGGAATTTGAATTCAACAAATATCTGGGATTCAGAATCTACTAATGACTATGAACCAATTGTTGATTGTCAGAAAAACCCATCTGGTTGACTAATGCCCTTCAGGGAAGAAAACTGCCATCCTTGCGTGGTCTGGCCTACATGTGACTCCAGACCCACAGCAATGTGGTTGACTCTGAACTGCCCTCTGGGCAATTAGGGATGGGCAATAAATGCTGGCTGGTTAGCAACTTCTCCTTCCCATGAATGAATAAAGGAAAAAAAAAACTGATACAGGATGAATATTCCTGATGTTGGGGATGTCCAGAACTAGGGATTAGAGCCTAAGAAGAATGGGTAAAGCACTCAGGATTGAGATGAGGAAGGATTTCTTCACTGAGTTGTGAACCTGGGGAATTCTCTCCCTCAGGCAGCTGTTGGGGCCAGTTCATTAAATATATTCGAGAGATCTGGACGTGGCCCTTGCGGCTAAAGGGATCAAGGGGTATGGAGAAAAGCAGGAATAGGATACTGAAACTGCATGATCAGCTACGATCATATAGAATGATGGTGCAGGCTCGAATTATTTTCAGTTTCTGTGGAGTCGCATGTAGGCCAGACCGGGTAAGAATTCCCTAAAAGGACGTTAGTGAATCAGGTGGGTTTTTCCTGACAATCAGCAATGGATTCATGGTTATCATTAGACTCTTCATTCCAGATTTACACTGAATTCAAATTCCACCGTGTGCCATTGTGGGATTTGAACCCAGTTACCCAGACCATTACCTGGGTCTCTAGATTAGCAGTCCAGCGATTAATACCACTAGGCTGTCACCTCCCCTATACATGTACCATTTATTCCTCAAGTATATTTTCTGCTAAACTTCTTTCCCAGAGAACTAGCTCCAGCAAGGCCAGTCACCCTTTATTTACCCATGCAAAGTACATGACACTGATCCATCTAGCTCAGAGCTGACTCCTGGAGTGGATAAAACCCTTGACAGGCCTGCTTATATCTGTAAGCCAGGACACCCTGGATTGGACCAGGTTAACAGCCCCAAATCAGGAAATGTGTATTCTGTGGGGGTTCGCCTGGATGACCTCCTTCTAATCACTACATCCCTCCTCCTCTAAGTCTGGGGCTGTAAGCCCATTCTTTTTCCTGTAGCTTCACCTGGGTGTTTTCACACCAGGTACCGTTCCTCCAACTGCCCCGGATACTGGCAATGTACACCGAACTATAGCCTGCCTCTTGTGCCCAGGGTGTCTCTGAAGAAATTCCTCTCCAGGCGGTAATGGCATTGAGGCTGCAACATCTGCGGTGTTCATCTCGTCCTTGGCCGTCTCTTCAGTGATAGGTGGAGGGGGAGAGCCTTCTGGGTCTGACAGCCTTGCCAGATGAACTGAGGGGCCGGGTATGTTTTGCTTCTGCTCGGTTTGCAGTTGCAGGTTTTAGATGGTCCACGTGCTTGTTCAGGACCACCTCGCCTACCTGAACTTTGTTTGTAGTGTGACCTATTCTTGCGTCGACCATGCCTCTTTTCCATGCAGGGCCGTTCCCATGGTTTCGATACCAAACTTCATCCCAGTAAGGTAAACTGCCTGTCCCTTGTAGAGGAGTCTAGTGACTGGTATCGGTGTTTCTGATGCTGCACTCTCACCCCAGGTCTGGGAAGATTAGGTTCAACCTGGTGATGGAGTCTTCTCCCCATTAGCATCTCTGGAATTGGTTCTGTAGTTGTGTGAGGTGTGGTTCTACAATCACGTTGGAACTGGGTTGAGTGAAGTTATGGGCTGACTCTTTAAGCCTGCCTTCAAAATTTGGGCTGCTCTTTCTGCCACCCTTTGAATAATGGATGGTATGGTGCTGTCCTTACATACTGACTGCCACTTGACTTTAGGAAATAGTTGAAATCCCTGCTGGTAAATGATGACAGCTTCAGGAGCCATGTATTGCAAAAGATGCTTGCAGCTTTTCTGTCATTGTCCCTGTGATTGACGAATGAATTCTGTGCACGTCTAACCACTTTGAATAGGCATCCATAATGACTAAGAACATAGAGCTTATGAAAGGACCGGCATAGACAACATGTAACCGATTCCAGGGCTTAGCTAGCCATTCCCACAAATGTGGTGAGCTGCTGGCTGTAATTTTTGTCCTTGTTGGCATTCTGGGCACTGCTCCACGAACGCAGCTATAGTGGCATCCAGTCCTGGCCACCAGATACAACTTTGCCAGGTCCAGAAAGGTTTCAGTTCTGGTTGTGATGTCCCTTTTGTTTCCCCCATTACTACTAGCTGGCGCCAGGACAGGATTTTTTGTGTCTACAATCTGATTATTGTCAGCGGTGACCGGAAGGGTGTCCAGAAAAAATTAAAACCAGAACAGATTCTTCTTGAGGCAGCACTACCGGTGATGTATCTGCTAGTGGGAGGTGGCTCAAGGCATCCGCATTTGTCACTTGGTCTCCAGTACAGTGGTCCAACTTGTAATTATATGCACTCCAAATAAGAGCCCACTCTGAATTCAGCCTGAAACTATGGGCAGCACGGCTCTGACTTCTGACCACGAACAGGGGTTTGTGGTCTGTTACTATTACAAATTTATGTCCAAATAGGTATTGCTGGAACTTTCTGACATCAAAGATGACTGCCAAACTTTGCTTCTCTGGGCCTATTTTCATTCAGCATCAGCTGAAGTCTGGGAAGCATATGCTATCAGATGTTCCTGGTGAGGTAACACTACCACCCCTCTACCATATGAGGAGACATTGCATGTCAGCACCACATCTCACTTGGGATTGCAGTGTTCCAACGCCTTAGATGACCGTAGCTGTTTGATCACTTCCCTAAAGGCTATTTCTCGGCTATAAGACCCATTTCCAAGGTTGACCTTTATTCAATAGCAGGTGTGAGTGTGTTAGGATGGAGGCCAGATTACATATGAATTTTCAGTAATAATTCACCAACTCCAGGAAAGACTAAGCTCTGGTACAGACGTGGAGGCTAGGGCACCTTTTGATCTCCCTCCCTTTATCGTCCGACAGTTGTAACCCATCCTTGTTGACTCTGTAGCCCAAATAAGTCATGTGCCTGGGAAATAAAAAACAGATTCTTTCCGCATACTGGTCCCAATCTTTGGCAGGATCAAAGGAGTCAAGCTTCCTTAAACAATGGCATGATGCCGGAATACTTACCCCAAGACAAAGATGACTGTTGTGAGTAAATCTCTTCAAGGGTGTTTTCTCTCATTACTACTGAGAAAGCTCCTCAAAGGCTGGTATCCCTTCATCAATCAACCCTCTATTTACATGTGCATAGTACATAACACTGATCGAGCTGGCTCCTAGAGTGAACAGAACCCCTGACACTCCTTTTTATACCTATAAGCCAGAACTCATTTTGTATAAGGTCCACCTGGCTGACCTCATTCCAATCACTGCACCTAGTCTACTCCAGCTACCTCTGCCTTCTTTCCTTTGTCATTATCCTTATTTGATATCATAATGCCTTTCAGGGAGGGAAATCTGCCTTCTTCACCTGGTCTGGCATAAGTGTAACTGCAGAGCTTCAGCAATGTGCTTGACTCTCAAGTATTGTCTGAAATGGCCTAGCAAGCCACTCAGCGGTCAACCATTATAAAGTGTCAACAACAAAATAAAACTGAACAACCCACGCACCACCACCAC